TCTAAAAAAACCCAAACCCTACCCTTTTCGCAAACCTGAGGCCTTTTTATCTTTCTCTCAATGACTTATTGCTGCCTCCAAGAGTTTTCCAAGGGGATAAAGGTGATCCAGAAATTCTTAAAATCCTCTGACACATCTGCAAAGCTCCTCAGTTGACAGAACTATGGCTCTTCTGACTGCAAAAAATCGTCTATATTGGCTCTAAAATCAGACTGGGAGATTAGGGCTGCAAAATTTCCTTTTTTAGGTTTTTTTTGGCTGCACAAGCTACAGCTCACCTCGTAGAAGACTTTCTTCAAGTAAAAGGATGGACTAGATGAGACCCCAAGCTCCCTTCCATCCTACTGCTGGATGGAATCAGGGGAATAGGTCCCTCTCAATAGGAAATATTTAATTTTTTGCTAAGATTTTCGCAGACAAGAGGCTTTTCTTCCTGCTCTTGGATCCCAACAGCTCTTTCTGGCCTCGACTGCTGAGACCAACAGGATGAGGTTCAACAAGGCCAAGTGCCAGGTCCTGCCCTTGGGTCACACCAACCCCCTGCAGCGCTACGGGCTGGGGGCAGAGTGGCTGGAGCTGCCTGGCAGAAAAGGAGCTGGGGGTGTTGGTGGCCTGTGGGCTGAAGATGAGCCAGCAGTGTGCCCAGGTGGCCAAGAAGGCCACCAGCATCCTGGCCTGTGTCAGGAATAGTGTGTGAGTAGGACCCAAGAGGTGATTGTCCCCCTGTACTGGCACTGGTGAGGCCCCACCTCAAGTACTGTGTCCAGTTTTGGGATCCTCACCACAAAAAAGACCTTGAGGGGCTGGAGCGGGTCCAGAGAAGGGCAAGGGAGCTGGTGAGGGGTCTGGAGCACAAGTCTTGTGAGGAGAGGCTGAGGGAGCTGGGGGTGTTGAGCCTGGAGAAAAGGAGGCCGAGGGGGGAACCTTCTCGCGCTCTATAACTACCTGAAGGGGGGGTGTAGAGAAGTGGGGGTCGGTCTCATCTCCCAAGTCACAGGAGATAAGACAAGGGGAAATTATCTCAAGGGGGGAGTGTGTAGGTTATGGGCCTATTCCTGTTAACAGCAGAAAGTCAAGATGGAGTTTCCTAAATCTGAGAAGAGGGAATAGCGTGCTTCCTGACGTGCTATAGTGGAATTGCAGTAACAGCTGTATTGAGGAGATCAGAAACAAAGTTGTGAGCGTCTGGAATGGTTCAAGAGTAAAAGAACTGCCCACGTGCCACCGTGCAGTTCTGCAGAATAATCTGTCTGGATTTTTCACATGCGTGTTTGTTTACCGTGAAGATCTGAGTTGAGACCTGGCCACCAGCTCAATCTTGATGCCAGACGTGTGTCTCATGTACTTTACCATGAGCTGTGGGGGATGCAAGTGATGTAATTTAGAAAATGTCTTTGTAAGCTGGGGAAATGGAAGGTAAAGTTTACCTCAGAACCTGCTCAGCCAGCCAAACACTTCTTAGCACCTAGGATGGTCAAAATGAGGGCTAATCCTGACAAAGCAGCAAGAACAGCAGAGGGGGAACTCTGGTAAGTTCTTTAAACTTTTCTTGCTTTCTAGCAGCACTTCAGTCCCAGTGTGTCAGGCTGCTTTCCT